CTCTTGCTTTTAAGGCTTTCCTGAGAATATTCCCTATGGGCTCTGTTTGTGTTCTGTTTAACAAATCACGTGGTGCTTCTGAGATACTCTCTTGCTTGTTTCAAATAAACCTAGCTCAACAAACAAATGAAGATGTGTGTGCTAAAACCAAACTTTGAATTTAAGTTAATCTGACATCTATAAAGGCAATGTGAGCACAAGGACTTGGACCTGTGGTGTTGGAGTTGTTCTACTGAATAAAGATGAAGATCCCAGTTTAGACTTGTTTAGCTTTAATTTCATCTTACGGGAAAGAGACTGGTACTTCCTCTCAAAAATACAGTAGATTCACCAAGTAGAGGCAGACATTAGGGAGTTAAATTTCTTACTAGCTTGAGTAATATCTACCACAGTTCCTTCTGAATGAGTGTCAAAACACAAAAATGGTAGAGACTAAGAGTAGGTAAATTAAGTCTGGAGATCAGCAAGATCACTTGAAGAGGAGGGTAATTGTTATGTAGTGCTTACCCCTTTACTGTTGAGGGATTGGCTTGTTAGAAATGCATTTGGTAGATAGGTGAGTTTATTTTTAAAATAGCCTTCAATCAAATTGTCTCACTAGTTTGTATAATGTGCCCATCACTGTACTGTGTCTATGCTACAAGTTTCTGAATTGTCTCATGTCAAGGAACTACTGAGGATTGTCAAAGTTATAGTGAAGCTAGGAATCTTGGCTTGATTAAGAATGGTTCCATATATATATAATCCAGAGGCTGCTGCAGTTTTCTGTCTCCAAATGTTGCTTTAAAACAGTCTTTCCAAACTGTTTTGCCTTCCAGGTAGAGACATTTCAGTCATGATATGCTCAGCTGTTGTAGAATTAAACAAGGGTGCAGGAGAGACTGAAGAACTGCCATCTTGTCCTGTCTGATGGCTTGTCAGTTTTTTGGTAATTCTGCTCATTTTATAACTATATATCTTTCACGGTTTGCCTTTATTTTTTTTTTTTAAAGCATTCCTCTAAAGAGTTTATTTGTGACAGTCTTCTAGTGCTTTCAAGCTTGTGCATAAATAAAATGCAAAAATGAAATTCAAGTAGGCCTTGTCCACAGATAGCTCAGGCTGAGCTATTTTACTGTGGTTACTGAAATAGGCCCAAAATGTGGTGGGTGTTGAAATTCTTGTATTGTCTGAAGGGAAGTCTTAAATTACTTTTTTATTTTGAAGTAGAAGATTTTTCACTTTCACTGTATCTTTTGTGCTATTTGTACAGTGCATTCCTGAGTAGCTGTTGAAGCAATTGAGGAGTAGTAGATCATTAGGAAGAAAGCTGCAAGATAACTGACTGGGCTGCCTTTTCCCAACTTACATCGTAGAAGCATGGAATTCTGAGTTGTTGGGTGAAATCTTTCTGTTCAAGGCCATGAACAACTGTTCATGGAAAAGTTTTAAAGTCTTCCCCTTACCCTCTTTCTTTTTTCCTGTTTATCTCTCCCTATTCCTTCTAGCCTCCCATGTTTTTGAACTGAGTAGTCTGTTCTTGTAATAGGAAGGCTGGAACTTACCAGAACAGAAAGTAGAGGATGCTTAAAGTTTGGGGTTTTTTGGTTTGTTTTTTTTCCTCCTCCACCCACCAGCGGATATATTGAGGATGTGATAGTTCTGTAGCTGTACTCTGTACTGTCCGATTGTACAATGGGATCCTGTGACTTGGTGTTTTTACCTGAACTTTGCCAGGTTTTAAGACTGCTTATATGTGTTTTTTTCTATTTTTTTTTTCTTTCTATAACTAGAGCACTGTTGGTAACAGAGGTCAGTATTATCCCCAGTCATCTTTCCCAAGCACCAGCCATCAGCATGTTAGAAAAGTTGAGCAAGGGAATTACTTTAGGCCGATAACTTAAAGTCTTTAAACTAGCTGCTGAGGATGCTATAATTTTGTGTTAGTCACTTGTGGCTGAGAATCCTATCCACCACCTCCTGTGTACACTGGCTTTATGAAGTATTTAAAGCTTATCCTTGTGCTTGGCATGCAAATGCTCCCCTTGAAATTGTTGAGGTAACTTGAAAAAACAACATGAAAGATTGTGACAACTGTATGTGCAAGGCAAAGACTTTCACATCTTCACCAGAAGAGAACAATGAAAATCAATATCCATTTGTGTCTGTGTTTGCTTTTTGCTCTTCCTGCAAACAATCTCATGTGCGATTTCTCCATCAACAGGTGATGGAGACCAAAAGCATGTTGTACCTTGTGACAGAATTTGCCAAAAATGGAGAAATTTTCGGTAAGCAAGAGAATATTTTCATGTTCAACATTTTAATGTTAACTTATGAAGTTTGTCAAATGTATTTATCTTGCCCAAGAATCCCTTTTACTGTAGTATGTCACTTTCCTTTATTTGTCAATAAATGTTTTAATTGTCACTGTTTCTCATTTTAGAACTAAGAACTTCAGGGAAACTGTTACAGTGTACACTGTAACAAAGAAAAAAGTTTAAAATTACTATGTTCCTTTAGCAGAAGATACAACTTGTTAAACAGAACAATGCAGGATAAACTCTCATCTCAGCTGAGAGAATTACCAGGTTTTCAGTATTGAGTTGAGATTAAAAACTATATTTACATGTTCAGCCTGACAATGAACAGTGGTCCAAACAGTATTTCAGGTAAACTGAAGAACCTGTTTCTTGTGCAGTTATGTACTGATTTATCAGACTTTTTAAAATATGTTTTCAGGAAGAACATGGTGGGCAGGAAGGGGGAGTGTCAGGGTGACTTGGAGTAACACTCATAATAAAAATTTTAGGCTGTCTGTGTTGACCTGCATGGTCAAATTCACATTAATTCTTGTTCTTCAGCCCAAACTCATCACTCAAGCAGGACTTCAGTGTTAAATTTGTGTGAAATACAGTGATTTTTTTAGTTGTAATGCTTCATGATGCAACTTTTTTGTTTTGTAATGCTCAGCTTGGACTACAATAGATGTCATTCTGTTTCTTTGGAAAAAGTTGTTACTTAAATCAGTGCAGGACAACTGTAGTATATAAACATTCTGAGCAGTGAACACTTCACACTTGCTCAGCCCTCTTCTAGTGTACATGATTGCTCAAAGTGCAGAACAGTAGAGAATCCTTCAGTATTCTGAAGGACCAGAAGAATTGAGGAAGCTTACTAAATTTTAAAATATGATGATGATTATGTAAAAGGGAATTTGTGAAGTGGCTGTGCATCAGCCTTTATTCTTCCCAAGGGCTACAGAGTGAATAGTAAAAGTGATTCCACGCTCCTGAGGATTGCGTTCTGGTACTGAAGATGATTCCTGCAAACGCTCTCGCCCTTCTTGATTGTGGTAATAAGCACAGTAAAAAAAAAAAAAAAAAAATCTTCTACATACATGTAACACAGACCTGGTTATGGCAGATAGGTTGTAGCCTTTGAGGTCTCATTCAGTGTAGCTTGAGTAACTGCCAGAACTCTAAAGTCAGGCTTATGGCATCTGCCATGCCGTTATCGTTTATCTCTAGGGCATTTTGTCTTCTGTGGTTGTACTGTGCATACATGTCCCAAGTTACTGTTTGAGGTTTTTTCTAAGCTATTGAGGCTAGGGTAGCAGCGGAGCCCTCTCAAGGAGGGACAGGCTGAATTTTTTCCCAGAACTGGCTACACAGAGCAGTGCTCCTTTTGAGGCCACAAAGAAGAAACATATGAGATGTGACACTAAGTAGATAAATGCATTTCATTTTGACCTGTGCTAGTGCCTTTAACCTTGAAATGCGCATTAGTGATCAAAGAAAAAATGGTTTTTTTTCAGCTCCTGCACATGCAACAAAAAACTTGGGTGAGCCTGTGTTCTTCTGACTAAAGACAAGCTTGCTATTCATAAACTTGTTTGAAATGGTTGATAACCTGCAGAATAGCAAGACAATGTTCTAATAAGGCTGGGATGATAAAATACCAAGAATGTTACTCCCATTTCTGTATACAGCATGTTAGCATAGGTCTGTTTTGGGGTCTGGTACCTTTTGAATATCTTGTGCATTTCTCAGGAATGTGGGTTTGGTTGTTTTGTTTTGGTTTTTGTGTTGCGTTTTTCTCTGAAGGAACAGCATGATTTGCTTTATACTGATTACCATCTGGAAATACTGAATAAGAAGAAAGGGGATTCTGTCTTTCTCACCTTCTAAGCTGCTGTTCTCAAACCAGGGCTAATCTTGAGTTGCAGGCTGGCCTACAACTTGTTTGGGTTTTTTTTGTCCTTCTGAAATCTTGCCATTCATCTTATTACTTGCCTTGGGAACTACAACATCGGAGGCTGTTTATCTTGCAAGATTTGTTTGCAGACTTGCATAAGTGATTAGCATAAGCCAAAAATCCATCTAAAAATTACCTTTGTACCTACATCAGGACAAGTTTGTGTATTTTGTGTAGTTTTAAGGTTTCATATATGAAATATTCTCAGCACTCTGTCAGGATTCTATAACTGTTAACTTGTATTTACATGACCAGATGTTTGTATTGCTGCTGCTTCGTTATGTGAGAAAGTGAGGTGGTCGTAGGGAAAAACAAATTAACAGAAGGCACAAAATATAAAACTTAAATGAGCATGGCTAAAGATTCTAGAAGTAACTTGGATGGTGACTCTTTTTGCCACCTTATTTGTCTTGGCTTTAAGGTGTATCATTTCCTGTAAAACTTACTCAGCTCATTCTGAAGAAGCAAAGCCTTTTGGGGTCCGAGACTTTCCCTGTTTGCAGATCGTTTAATGTATGTTTCAGACACAGTTTAGCTAATTCTTAGACCTTGTTTTCTCATTAAAATAATTAAGGAATCTTTCTGGGTCCATTATTAGAGACTTAATATTTCTGTACAGGTTTTTTCTAAACTAACTGGGTTTTTTTTTCTGATTTATTGGAATGATTTCTCAGAGTGGCTTTTATAATTAAGGATGGGGTATTCTGCTGTTGTATGTATTTGTCACTTATATGTGTTTTTGGAGGAGGAAGCAGAAATGAGGTAACAGGAGAAACATGTTAAGAGCGTCAGAGGGGGAAAAGTTATCTTCTGTTTTTTCTGCAGGCTCTCAGAAAGTGCACCACAACAGTAAGTGCTAGGTGAAGAGCAAATGGTCGCTGTCTAGCAATATGTAATAACAACTTTAAGTTTGAATGGTACCCATGACAAACAGTTTATCTTTCTTGAGTGAGTCTAGCGTGCCCTAGTAGAGCAACAGAAGAAAGGAATAAAAAAAATAGCAGAGGAGCAGAAATATTCTCAAAGGTAAAGAAAATCTTTCAAGCTGGAGTATTTCATACATAGCAGGTAGTGTTGCTTTGTTTAGGAATTGGACTGAGTAACAACCTTTCTTGCTTAAAAAAAGCTAATTTCATGAGTTCTGTGCTTCATAACCAGGCACTTAGAGTTTTCACATGCATTTTAGTTGCAATAACAAAATCGGAGTTGCTGAGAAAATTCCACCTGGTGATGTTGACTGACAGTTTCAGAGAAACTAAGTCAGAGGGCAGTGGAATAGAGTTCAGCATGTAGGGCCCTGGTGATTGGAGTGCCGAAGAGGTGGAGCCTGGCTGATCTTTATTTTTTACACTGGGGGGCAGGGCGGGATGGATTTTGTGAAAACAGAACTCAAATGTTCAAAGTCCTTTCTTGTTGTCTGGATTATCCTCCTCTTCCCGCCCCTCCCCCCCCAAACTCCCTCT